AAAAAAAAAAAAAACCCCCAACCCCCCCCCCCCCCCCCGACCCAAACTGGAGAACACAACATTGCTAGCAAGTCTCTTCCCCTCTGGGCCCCTCCCACCCTGTGCCCTGCCTCCCTCCACAGGGGGGAAACACTAGCTAGAGTTTTATGTTAATCACTCCCCATCCTATTTTTAAAAAATAGCCTTTTCATCTTCCAGTTCATGTCTGAACAGCATATTATGTTTTAGTTGGCGTCAAGCTTCGTAAGGCCTCAAGCTGTGTGGGACTTGCTTCCTTCACCCAATCCTGTGGCTGTGTGATGTTCTTTCTGTGAATACACCAGTTTGTTTATTCATTCTCCTGCCGAAGGGGATTTGGGTTGTTTCTGGTTCTTGGCCGCCATGAGCAGCGGGGCTGTAAACATTCTCGAAGTTGACTTCCACACCCCATGTTCATCCATTTCTCCTGGGCGTACACCCAGGAGTGGAACTGCTGGGTGGGCTGTAGGTATTAGTGCTCTAAATTACAGATGTGATAAATACCAGCTTGTAAAAAACACAAACAAACCAAAAATGAGCGCCCCTCTTCCTTTCCCACATTCCTCCACGGAGAGGAGGCCGTGGGAACCATGGGGAGAGTCTCCCAGAACAAAGGGGGCATATTGGAGGTCTTGTTTGGTAAGCAAGACCTCATCTCAAGTCCCAAGGGCAGGGAGACCTGGTTTGGCTGACCTCTGACCCCCTCCCTCTAGGGCAGTGGTTCTCGACCTTCTGGCCCTTTAAATACAGTTCCTCATGTTGTGACCCAACCATAAAATTATTTTCGTTGCTACTTCATAACTGTAATGTTGCTACTGTTATGAATCGTAATGTAAATATCTGATATGCAGGATGGTCTTAGGTGACCCCTGTGAAAGGGTCGTTCGACCGCCAAAGGGGTCGTGACTCACAGGTGGAGAACCGCTTCTCTAGGGCCCCTCATAGAGCTGGACCTAGAGAGGGGAAGGCAGGGCTCAGAGTCATGTATGATCTTTCTCTGGCTACCCACCCGGGCCCAGCTCTTAGCATCTCTCCCTCCTGCAGGATGAGAACATGGTGAGCTTCATCAAGGGCGGCATCAAAGTTCGAAACAGCTACCAGACTTACAAGTGAGTGGGGCTGGCGGGGTCCTGGGGCACAGCATCTGCTACTCTGTGCCTCTCAGGCTGCTCTGTGGGAGGCGGAGGGCACTGGCTGGAGGCAGGATGCCTAGAATGCTGTGTGACCCCGGGCAGGTTTCTGCACCCTCTGGACCTCAGTCTTCTGGAATATTAGTCCCCTGGTTTTCCTGGGTGTGTCTGTTGGTTCCCCTGACTGCTTACTCTGTGCCTGACCTTGAACTAGGCACTTAAAACACAGATTCTGAACAAACAGCTTGGTATGGTGGGGGCAGGAGGAAAGACAGTAATTTTGAGAATAGCAGCAGAACTTCTACACACCCAGATGCCCCTTTCCCCACAAAGCCTTCCTGACCTCTCCAGTCCACAGGGATGGTGCCCACATCCCCCCTAAGATGGAAGCAACCGCCCGAGGGCCAGGTCATTTCTGTGCCATCTCAGCATTGGGCAAGGCAGAGGCCATGTTTATGGATGAAAGAATGAAGACTCAAAACAGCACTTTTACCTAACATGGTATTACAAACATCTATAATGCCCAAATCCAAAGAGCTCTGGAAGCTCATTCCCCCACCCCCAAGTTTGGCGTTAACAATCATTTTCCATGAAAAGCTTCCTTGAATTGACTTGAGACTATTTATCATCTCTATTGCTCCCATTTAATGTGACCATTTCCCAGCAGAGAGTTGGAGTGTGACTGCAAGGTATTGCTGGGTGTAACACACCATGGGTATGTGGGCACCCCACCCATGGTGGGTCTGTGCTGGAATTGTGTGAGGGAAAGCAGACGAGCATTCTGGCTCCTCCAGCCTCCCCACCAGCTGCCAGCGTGATGTCTCCAAAGCACAAGCCTTGTCAGGCCACCCCCTGCCAAGTTCCGAGGTTCCTCTCGCCTTAGAATAAGGTCCTGGGTCATGGCCAACCTCATTCCTATCTCACGGCCTTTGGACATGCTGTTCTCACTGCCAGAAACACTCTTTCCGTGCCAGGCTCATCCCTCCTCATCCCTTAGTTTTCAGCTCAAATGTCAGCTCCTTAGGGAAGCCCTCCCTGAAGCCCAGACTGTGTCAAGCCCCAAGGTTGTCCTTTGAAGCCGTCCTTACTGTCACAGGTCCCCTGGGGGTCTGTCCCCCGAGTGGGAGACTTGGGAGGGCAGCAGCTTGGTGGCTCCCTGCTGTCCCTCAGTGCCTGGCGCAGAGAGGCCTCCGCCAGTGTCTGCTGATTAAAAGCCTTCAAGATGCCTAAGGCAGGGAAGAAGGCAGGTGCACCTTGAAAGCTTCTGTGCTGCCCCAGGCCGGCTGTGATATGGGCTTTGCACAGTTGGTGGCTGGAGAAAGAGCTGGATTCTAACCAGGAGACTCCAGGAAGAGGGGGTGTTGGAGTTAGCCCAGTGGTTCTCAACTGGGGGTTAATTCCCCCCCATGAGACATTTTGTTTGTCACAACTGGCATCTAGTGGGTGGAAACCAGGGATGCTGCTAAATATCCTACGATGCACGGGACAGCTCCCTCACCCCCCAAAAAAGAATGATTCAGTCTAAAATTCCAGTAGTGCTGAGGTTGAGAAAGTGTTTTAGACAAAATGCAGAGCACAAGCAACTGCCTAGGTATTGGACAAGGCAGGCGCGCTATGGCTGATATGGCTGACATTTAGGGGTGAGGAGTGTGATATTACGGAGGGAGAGGTGGTTGGAAATACCAGCTTGCTGGATTGCTGGAGCTGTTATAACTCTACTGCCGAGAGTTCTGAGGTCAGCTGGGAATGGGGCATTGTTAGGCGCAGCTGGGGGGAGACCCAGCCCCCAATATGTGCTTTGCTTCCCTCTGCAGGGAGCTGGACAGCCTCGTGCAGTCCTCACAATACAGCAAGGGGGAGAACCACAGGCACTTCGAAGGAGGCGTGAAGCTTGGTGTGGGTGCCTTCAACCTGGTGAGTGGGAGTGCCCCTGCCCATGTCCAGTGTCTGGGCTCAAAATTAATCTCCTCTGCACATCCCGCCGCACACACATGGTCTTTGCTGGGCTCCTGGCTCTGTGCCAACCCTGGCCCCAGCGGTGAAGCTGACCTTTGCAGCCTGGGGGGTGCCCAGCTTGGGTGGGGGTGGAGTGGGTGCTGGCACTGGCTCCAGAGTCCCTTTTGTGCATTTCTTCCCAGGTCAAGTTGAAAGCTTAAAATCTACTGTAGTGGCAGTATTTATAGCACCAGAAATGGACAAACAGTAAACCAGGGCCTTTTCAGCCCTGGAGGCTGATGATTAAACATGGACCAATGGCAGGGAAGGGGACAGGCCCGGAAACAGCTGATGACCCACAGGGACTGGAGAGCCAAACTCCTTCCTGGGGGAGTTGGGGAAGGTTTCATGGAGGGGGTGGTATTTGAGCTGGATCTTGAACCACCCATAGGTGGGGGAAGTTTTCTAGGCAGGGAAGGGCATCCTAGGCTGAAGGAACAGTAGGAATTAGCAGGGAGGCTCAGAAAAGCCACGCCTGCACCTGGGAGGAGCATGTGAGTGTGTGTGTGTGTGTGATATGGGGTAGTGGGTAGGGGGTGGGAGCAGCTCTCTCCACTTCAGGCAAAGCCTGTTCTAAGAGCAGGCCTTGGGGCAGGGGTCCCGGCCCCACTCCGAGTTCCAGTTTCCTCATATGTAAAATGGGAGCTGGGATCCTGGACCAAGAGCTGAGAAACACAGCTGCAAAGTGCAGTGGATGCTTTAGCAGGTTATAGCCGGGCCGTCCTGGCTTCAAGGACTGCCTCCACCTCTGATGAGCTTTGGGGCCTTGGACAGGTCCTGTCACTGACCTGTGCCTCAGTGTCCCCATCTGTCAAAAGGGTCAATGAGCCCTCTATGCTGGGCTGTTCTGAGGATCAAATGCAGTGAGAGCCCCTGGTCCAAAGTAGGGGTTCAGTATAGTAACGACAATAGCTGACTAACAAGTGGAGGTCCCTTCTATGGGCTTTACATGGATTAATTTGATCCATCTGCACAGCACCCCCATGAGGTAAGGGCTATTATTATTCCCATTTTACAAATGAGAAATGGAGGCAGAGAGAGGAGATATAACTTGCCCAAGGTGACTCAGCTGGGAGCAGCTGCCCCTGCACGTGCCCACCTGCTTCTGTTCCTGCAGACGCTGTCCATGCTTCCTACTAGGATCCTGAGGCTGCTGGAGTTCGTGGGGTTTTCAGGAAACAAGGTAACTGCCTGCTTTCTGGGACCCTAGACCCCCTCAGCTCCAGGACTGGAACTCAGCTAGATGAGAGGCGGCTGAGGGGCTGTGGGGCCGAGGGGCCAGTTCTGGCTCAGCCCCCCTCGGTATGGGTTCCCTAGACAAGGCCCAGACCTCTCTGGGCTTCAGTCTACACTCCAGTCAAGTGGGGCCATGAGCCCTGCCTGGTCCCCTCACAGGGTGGAGGCTCTGGGGCTAGGGTGGCTGTGAAAGGCAGCTCTGTGCAGAGGCCTGGGGCTTGTTTCCTGATCCTGACAGGTGAAGAGCTAGAGCAAGTCCTTTCCTCTGGACTATCTTCTGGTCTGGGACATGCCCAAGAGAAGTCCTATTAAGCATTAGGCCTTGAGGGGGGAAACCAGACTCACTTTACTGAGGGCAGGAACCTGAGTACCCAGGTAGCAGATCAAGGAGGGCTCCCTGGTGGAGGAGGCTTTGTGTGAGGGAAGGAGCTTGGCCTAGAAGGCATGCCCTTCTCCCTGTGACATTGAGCCTCTTTTCAGTAAAACCAGGGCTTTTTAAAAACCAGGTCAGTGCCTGACCTGGTTTGGCTCAGTGGATAGAGCGTCAGCCTGCAAACTAAAGGGTTCTGGGTTTGATTCTGGTCAAGGGCACATGCCCGGGTTGCAGGCTCAATCCCCAGTAGGGTGTGTGCAGGAGGCAGCCAATCAATGATTCTCCCTCATCATTGATGTTTCTATCTCTGTTTCCCTCTCCCTTCCTCTCTGAAATCAATAAAAATATTTAAAAATAAAAATAAAATAAAATAAATAAATAAACCAGGTCAGTGTTTCTCAAATTTGAACTTTTTCTAGCCCTTGCTGATTTTTGCCATGTGCACAGACCTCTATATTATTAGTTACATATTATTTTTCTGAAAAATGGCTCATAAGTTTTATTTAAATTTATTTAAAGTAAATATGCTACACAGAACACAATCATAACAGTAAATACTATGAGGACCAAACAATCTTACGAAAACCCAGTCTCTGCCAATGCCGTTCCCTCCGTGAGGAAGGGAGCTCAGAGCCAGAGCGATGTTGAACAGGCCCAGCATGGAGCCCAGGCGTTCTCCTGGGCACTGTCAGGCGGACAGATGGAGAACTGAGATGGGAAGGCCTCCCTTGGGACCCCCTGCTTCCTCAGGCCTGTCCGCGGACCTCGAAAATGGTCGCCACATGAGGTCCATGCCCCGGGCGGGAAAACACTGGTGGGAGGCTCTGAAAGTCCCTTTCAGTTTTGTTTTCTTAAGAAGGCCCTTGGGTCACAAGTAGGATTTCAGGATGATGCTGGGAGGGAAGAGCTTGAGAACGGCCGGCCGAAGCGCGCCGTGCGGCCTGCCTGGCCAGGAAGAGAGGCGGCGAGGCCAGAATGGAGGCACCAGCGCAGGCTCTGTCTTTATCCTGGAAGTAGGGGAGCCATGGAGGGTGTGAGGCAGGGGAGGCGGATTCTACACTAGCAGGCGCAGGAACATGGAGGACAGACTGAGGGGCAGAGTGCCGTCAGGGATGCGAGTGGGGTCTGGCTTCTGCTCCTCCCCAGCCAGGCTCTGGAGCCTCCTTCTCCAGGGAGCCTTCCCAGACCACAATCCTCATGGTCCCATCTGTGCCCTGAGCCTGTGGGTTAGGATTATCTGCCTCCTTGTCATTCCTCCTCCCCTTACCAGGCCTGGGGCTGCTCAGGGCCTCAGCACCTACCACCAGCCAAACAGGTGAAAAAGAGGAAGAATGGGCGGGGGGCTGTGGAGGAGGTGGGGACACCTACACCCGAGCCTCTGCTGTGGCCTTGGCAGCAGCGTGTGCTCCCGCAGGAAGGTGGCTGAGATTCCGAGAGGGACAGCCCCTTCCTCAGGGTGGCACAGCCTGGGAGCAGCTGACCTGGCCTCCTGGGTACGCCACCCTGCCCCCAGCTCCAGCAGCACCTCCAGGCCCCTGTCCCTCCGTGGGCCCCAGGGTGGGCTTGGGGAGCCCAGGCCTGCTGGCTTCAACCTGGCCTCTTGTCCCCAGGACTATGGGCTGCTGCAGCTGGCGGAGGGCGCCTCGGGGCACAGCTTCCGTGCAGTGCTCTGCGTCATGCTGCTGCTGTGCTACCACACCTTCCTCACCTTCGTGCTTGGTAGGAGTGCCCTTGGGGCCAGTGCAGGGCCTCTGGGGTGTGGTTGGCTCTGAGGGCAGGGGTCAAGAGGGTGAGGGGTTACACACCCTGACTGGGCCCCCGAGATTGGGGATGGGGCACTGAAACCACAAACAGCAGAGCCACCTCAACTGTCCTGGGGCCTGTTGACTACTCACTTCCTCATAGTTTGAGTAGGTCCCAACCTCAGTTTTCTCATCTGTGAAATGGGGATGCCCATGCCCACCTTGTAGAGGGTGTGAGGACACTGTAGGCAGCTCCTTGGGGTTCTGGGCACAGCCTTAGTGGGCATGGACTCGTAGTTATTGAGCCCTGTGATACGCTAGAGGCGACATCTGCACTATCTTATTTAAACCTCACATCACTCTAGAGATAGAGGAATATTATCCCCATTTCACAGAGGGGGCAACAGAGGCCTTGAGAAGCCCCTGGTGGGTTGCTGGGAGGATCACAGGAGCCCGTGGTGGCAGTGACATGTGTTGTACCCCCACCTCCTTCAGGCACCGGGAATGTCAACATCGAGGAGGCAGAGCAGCTCTTGAAGCCCTACCTGAAGCGATACCCTAAGGTGAGCTCCACCTCCTGCCAGACACCCCTGCCCACATGTGCCGCATGGGCCCACACAGACCCACACATGTGTCTTTGCAGGGCGCCATCTTCCTGTTCTTTGCAGGGCGGATTGAAGCCATCAAAGGCAATGTTGACGCCGTGAGTAATGGGGTCTCCCAGGCCAGCAGGAAGTCAGACGCACAGAGATATACTCAGGGACAAGGCCGGCTGGGAGGGGGGCCCAGAGAGAACCGACAGCAGAGCAGGGGTGGGAGAGGCACTTCTGAGGCAGTCTGGGGAGAAGAGGGTTCTGACAGGGAGATTAGGACGCAGCGCTCCTGGAGAGGGAGGTGCTGGTGTAAGGCAGGGACATGGGAAGACCCACTTACTCAGGGTGTGGGGACAGGCTGGACCTGGTGAATGCCAGGGGGTGAGGGCTCCATAGAAGGGAGGGAGCCATCGGAGGGGCTGCAGAGGGGAGGACCACAGTCGTGGCAGAGACCCCAGCACTAAGCCAAGGCCCAGGATGGACTCCGCAGTGTGGAGTCCTGGGATCTCCCGCTGCCCTGGCTGTGACTCCTCCGGCAGCAGGACAGATGCCCCAGATCCAGCTCACTCCGTAGGAGCTACGGAAACCTTTGGAGTTGGCTCTGAGGCACAGATACTATTACATTGCTTTAACGTTAACACTTTCCACTACCTGCTCTCCCTCCATGATAGCTCTATCCTGTCCTTTCACTTTGTGATGGAAAGACTAGAGCTCCAGAGAGAGGCAGGAACTGGGCCTGAGGCCGTGTGAGACTTGGGGGAATAATGACTGGAGGCCAGTCTCCTGCACAGCGGTGGACCATGTGCACTGGAGCAGGCTGGGCCTGCAGTGGAGTTGGGTGGGTGCAGAGGGTGGGCGGGCATGGCCGAGGAGCACTGGAAAGCCGACCAGCAGGTGCCCACAGGCCGTCCGGCGCTTCGAGGAGTGTTGTGAGGCCCAGCAGCACTGGAAGCAGTTCCACCACATGTGCTACTGGGAGCTGATGTGGTGCTTCACCTACAAGGGCCAGTGGAAGATGGCCTACTTCTACGCCGACCTGCTCAGCAAGGAGAACTCCTGGTCCAAGGTGGGCTCACATCAAGTGCTGGGGGGCACTGGGGGACCAACCCAGATTGGCCATGGGCCCCAGACCAAGGGCAAACTCCTAACTGAACACAGATGTCCCAGCTAGAATTTAAACAGAACCATAACTTCTAATAGGACTCAGGGTGGGAAGGAACGCAATGTCCCCAGGGTGGTGAGGAGCAGAGAAACGTCAGAACTGAAATGTGTCAGTCAGGAGTTTTAGTCACACGGGACAGGCACATGGCTAGCACTGCCTAGGTGAGAGCTGTCCAGTAGGACCTCTGCGCTGGTGGGAATGTTCTGTCCTGTACCATCCACACGGTAGCCACCGGCCACATGTGCACAGTGAGCACCTGAAATGTTCCTACTGCAACTGGGAAACCAGGTGTTTTCAATTTTATTTAACTTTAAATTTAAATTTAAAAACTCACATGGGCTAGTGGCCACTGTATTGGACTTTGCTGGTCTAGAACACAGAAGGCTTATTGGTTCATATAACAGAAAATTCTAGGCCAGTGATGGCGAACCTTTTGAGCTCAGTGTGTCAGCGTCTTGAAAAACCCTAACTTAACTCTGGTGTCGTGTCACATATAGAAATTTTTTGATATTTGCAACCATAGTAAAACAAAGATTTATATTTTTGATATTTATTTTATATATTTAAATGCCATTTAACAAAGAAAAATCAACCAAAAAAATGAGTTCGCGTGTCACCTCTGACACGCATGTCATAGGTTCGCCATCACTGCTCTAAGTAGTCCAACCCTCTAATCACATGATTGGCTCTCTGGAGACCGCCCGCCTCCTGAAGCAATCTATTGAAGGGCTATTTTCCTCCAGGGTCACTTCATTAGCATAAACTCAGGTTTGGACAACAGGGGCTCATTATGAAGTAAATGCCATTAACAAAGAAAAATCAACCAAAAAAATGAGTTCACGTGTCACCTCTGACACGCGTGTCATAGGTTCGCCATCACTGTTCTAGGCAAACTGACTTCAGGTAGGGCTGGATGCAGGAATTCAAATCGTGTCATCGGGGCTTAGTTTTTCTACCTGTACCGTGTTCTCTTCAATATATCTTTGTTGTACAGGCAGGTTCTCTCCATGTGACAGGCAGGGTGGCCCTGGGTTGCCTGCTGCCAACTCATGTCATCCCTTTGGTTTCAACCCAAGTCCCACAATACAGCCTCATTGGTCTGCATAGATTGCATGTCAATGCCTGGAAACAGAGGGTGGGAAGACTGATGGACGGGGAGCAGAAGAGAGGTGGTTACAGAAGAAAAATGGTGTGATGTCCCCAAAAGAAGCATTTGGGGGATTAAAACGATGTCTGTAGGCAAAACAAAGCAAAATAGGTGCCCACCATAGGTGAAAACATAATATCAAGTTAAGTGGTGAAATAAGCATTAGCCATTATTACCATAGTAATGCTAGCACAGAATTCTGAACAGAGAGTTTTAGAATCATCATCAGCATCAGAATCTGGCATTGGTAAATACTTAGCATATATGTCTCAATGCCTTTAAGTCCCTATTTCTCATCCCTCCCCACCTCTGCATGGAAGTCCTTCTTCAGTACCCCTGCCTGGGGACCAAATGAAAGGGAATTCCCTGGGTCTGGGAAAGGTGGGGCTGGGGAAGGGGCAGGGTGTCACTGAGCTCTCACCATGTGCCCAGCGCTTGCCATTTCCTCTACACCACACCCAACAAGGCAGAAGTTATCTCCGTTGGGCACACCAGGGCTGCTGTGGCTAAGAGGGTGTGTGACTTTCCTGGCTCACACAGCTGTTGGTGACAGACTGGGTTTGAAGCCAGTTCTGTGAGACTCAAAGGCCTCTGCTTTTCCCTTGTCCCTCAAGTCTCCAGAGGAGGCCCAGGTTGCCCGGCTGCTAGAGGTGCTTCCTCAAGCCCAGCCCTATGGGCCCAGCATTCATTCCTCATCACTTCCCACTCCCAGTAAGAGCACAGACTCTAGGAACCTTTTGAACAGGTGACCTAGAAGCCTTCCTGTGGAGTAAACTGGACAGCTGAGTCTGCCTACACAGGGAAGGGGGGGTGCGGGTGGGGGTGCACACAGCTGCTGTGAGCAGCAGAGGGAGGCCCAGGCCTCCCAGGTGTCAGGAAGTCTAGCTGGGTCAGCTCGGTATCCAGCTGTGTGACTTTGGGGTGGTCAGCCCCCACACTCTGTCGTGTTTTCCTCAGAAGGGTTTCCTGTGAAAGTGGGGGTCGTAGCACCCTCAGTTCTGGGACCTCATTCATTCCTACTCTCCAGCCCTTGGCCACCACAGAGTCCCCCAACTCAGCTTTAGGGATTTGGTTGTGGCATCCCTCTCTGCCCTGTGGAGCCTTCGTTTCCCTCAGCCAGAAACTAGGTGGTGACAACTGCACGCCGTGCAGCAATGAGGGAAACGGGAGCTCAGAGGCAGCCCTGGGAAGCCAGCCACCCAGCCACAAAGACAGGGGAGGCCTCTGGAAGAGGAGACATCTGAGCTGATTTTGAAGGAGGAGGAATTAGAGTGGAAGTGGAGTAAGTAAAGGACACCCCAAGTCAAGAGAACGAAGGTCAAAGGCTGGAAGTCAGGGTGCTGCTAAGGGGCTCAGTGTCCCCAGGTGAAGGGTTGTGGGTAGAAGTGCAGGGGATTATGGAGAAACTATCCCCATTAAGCCACTGGCTATAGCTGCTGCTTCTTTTTTTTTAATCCTCACCCGAGGATCTTTTTTCCATTGATTTTTAGTGAGAGTAGCAGGAAGGAGGAGTGGGGGAGAGAGAGAAGAAACACTGATGTGAGAATGACACATCGATTGGTTGCCTCCCACACATGCCCCTACTGGGGTGGGGATCGAGCCTGCAACCCAGGTTTGAGAATCAAACCCATGAGTCTTTGGTCTAGGGGTTGGTGCTCTAACCACTGAGAACACCGGCCAGGGCTGCTGGAGCTTCTTGAAGACAAGGGCTGACTGCACAGACCCTGGTAGAGTAATACAGAAACTACAGGGATCAGGGAAAACAGATTCCGGTAGTTTCTGTATTAAGGAACTGGGGAGACAGAACTCCCATCAGAGGAGGTGGCTGCTGTTTTCCGTCAATGTTCCCCATGTATCCCTTAATAACTTGATGTCCACGGGTGTCACATCCACCCTATCTCCTGGTGACTCAAGGTGGGTGAGCTGACTCGGGGGAGTAGAAGCCTCTTAGAGGAAGCCAACGGATAAGCCTGGCAGAGAAGGAACAATGACATCTTAGGCAGAGGAAAGGCACAGGCAAAGGCCTGGGGTGAGTTTAAGGGGTGATGGGGAATAATTGGCAGAAGAGGAGCCAGAAGAGCAGGTCAGGGAGGGCCCCGAGTGGCTGTTCAGGCTTTAGTATGACAGTGAAGGAACCCTTGATGCTGTGGTTTAGATTTGGGCTTTAAGAACTCCCTCCTGTGGTTGCTGGGCACCGCCACCTGAAGCTGAGTGCCTTTGATGTATTCTGGCAACGGCCCAGAGGCCAGTGTGGTTAGAATGATGTGAGGGAGGGGGACACAGTGGGAGATGAAATTGGAGAGGAAACTGGGGGAGACTGGATGGGGCCTTGCAGGCCAAGAGAGGGGGTTTGGGTTTTATCCTGTGTGATGGGATATCACAAGAACATTTCAAGGACGGGCTGATGTAATTTGACATAAAAAGATCTGACTGGCATGGTGTGGGGAATGGCTTGCAGGGGGTAGGAGGGGGTGCAGGAAGATGGGTTAGAAGACACCATGTAAACTAGGACAATAGAAAGACATCTCTGGTGGCCTGGAGCAGGGAGCAGTGTGGAGGCTGGTGCAGTAATTGAGGTGAATGATAGCTCAAGGCCAGTGGGATGCAAGAGCTAGAGGGAAGGTAAAATCATGAAGACTTAGTGACTCAGTGCTAGCCAGGATGGGGAAGAGGGAAAAGGCAAGGATGACACCAGGGAGTTGAAGATGGGATGGGCAACAGCTTTCAGTGAGGGGTGATTCTTCTCACCACACCCCACAAAACAGTTTTTCTGCATTTTGTGAAGGGCAGACTAAGGTGCCGAGGTCAGCGTAGAACTAGGAGTAGCCCTGGGCTTCAGCATGGGTGGGGCTGCCAGGTGGAGCTGCTTTCCGCCTTCTCCAGAGACTAGGCTCCAGGATGTCCTGCTCCGGTTCCTCCTCCACCCAGTACACTTCTTTCTGGGCTAATGGCAGGTGGGCAGGTAGTTCCTTGGCAGCAGCTGGGGTAGCAGGAGCTGTGGTTCAGGGCTCAGCCACTGGAGGGCAGCACAGAGCCAGGCTCCTCTGGCACTGGACTTAGGGGGAAGGGGTGCAGCTTTCAGGATCCCTGGGCGGAGGAAGGGGGTTCTGCACAGCCGCCCCTTTCCTGTCAGGAGTGACTGTGGATCCAGTGGACAAGGCTCTTAAAGCCACACAAAGCTGGGGTCACTCCCAGCTCTGCCCCAAGCAGCTTTGAGGTCCCAGGAAGCAGAGGGTGCCTATCCTGGCATTGTCTTTGGGATCACGTGAGGTGATGTATGTAGAGCACCTAGCACACAGTAGGCAGTTCCACCAGTTCAGATAGCCGTGGCCCCGGGTCCTGCTCACTCTTCTGGCCTCACACCGCATTTATGCATCCCATACTTTATGCTACCTATCTGTATCTTGGTTATACACAGGCTCTGCTCAGCTGTTTCCCTTGCCTGGGAAGTCCATCCTCAGGGTCTCTGTGAATCTTCCTGTTGGCCTGCAGGGGCCCACTCAGAAGTAATTGCTTCCCAGAAGCCCTTGCTGCCCGGCCTGCGTATCTCCATCCTAGCCTCAGCACTGCCTGTGCGTCCACTGGTTGCTTGAGTCGCTTTCTCTATTGCTTCAGAGTGGAGAGGGTGGCAGCTGCTTTCATATGGGCCCGTCCTGGATTTAACCCCCAGCTCCAGTTCTCAAGCTGCTTCAGCTCCCTCAGTTTCTCCTCTGGGCCTGGGGATGATGTTAGCTCCTATGCTGGGCCAAATGAGGTATCTGTGCCAAATGAACTGCCACGTGGGTTGTGGCTTCCTCAGCTGTTTCCAAGGTCAGAGTAAGATGTGGTCTGCAGCTCCACAAGCCTCCACAGCTGTTCTGGGAAGGTGGGCTCCTCACACCTGACTCTTGCCCTGCCTCTCACAGGCCACCTACATCTACATGAAGGCTGCCTACCTCAGCATGTTTGGGAAGGACGACTACAAGCCGTTTGGGGATGACGAAGTGGAGTTGTTTAGGTGAGTTCTACCATTGCACCCCCCATTGTAGGCTTCAGCCAGGGTCTATCCAGACACCCTGAGCTGACAGCATCCCTGGCCTGAGCGCCCGGACCCTCCCCCAGGATTGCCCCACATGCCCGCCATTCCCTTCTATCACCACCTCCTGCGGCTGCTTATTAGAGCCCTTTGAGTCTGTTCGAGGCTTTCTTTCACCAAAGTGGTTTTGTCAACATCCTTTCCACTGAGCCTCTTTCGTCAGGTCAGTAGGACACTGAGGTTGAGAGACGTACCCTTGGCTGAGTTAACCTGCTAACACTCAGAGAAGCACACAGAGAGCCAAAGAGTTGGATCAAATCCAGCCTTTGCCATTTATCTGTGTCACCTCAGACAATCTCAGCATCCATAAAATGGGACTAACCTCTGCCTTGCAGGGCTGTTTTGCAAATCAAATAGATAATATATTTAAATAGCCTGGTGTAGGGCCTGGAGCCACTAAAGGGTGGCTGTTTTTATTCTTACTTATAACTGCTGTGTTTGCTTTTTTAAAAAAATATATTTTATTGATTTTTTTACAGAGAGGAAGGGAGAGGGAGAGGGATAGCGAGTTAGAAACATCGATTCAGCTGCCTCTTGCACGCCCCCTATTGGGGATGTGCCCGCAACCCAGGTATATGCCCTTGACCGGAATCAAACCTGGGACCCTTGAGTCCGCAGGCCGACACTCTAGACACTCTATCCGCTGAGCCAAACCAGCTAGGGCTGCTGTGTTTGCTTTTTCTGCAAAGGGTCTGGAGCAGGGCTCAGCCTTGCAAGCTGAGAATGGGGAAGATAATTTTCCCCTCTATTCTTCTAGATTTGGGGCTGAAACCCTTCTCCTCCCCCCATAATAAAAGACAGATTAACAGGAGAAAAACAAACAGAAGTTAAATAACATGCATGCCTCCTATATATGTGGGGGAGGGAAACCCAGGAAAACTGATCAACTCACCAAAATGGCTGAATCCAGCACCTTAAATACCACCTTCAGCTGAACACTAAAGGTGTTGGGGGTGGGGAGCCAGTATGTGGGGTGACTAGAAAAGCACAGTAAACAAGGGTAAGGTTGTGATGCATAATTAAGTCATTTTCTTCTGCACTGATGAGCATCTTGAGATTTAGTCATCCCCCTCTTCCTGATAGAGAGGGAGGTGCCCTAACAGATGGGATCTCCCTTGTAAATAGAAATGTCTCTCACAAAAGGTAACTTCTAGGTTTTCAAGAGCTCTTCCTGTGTATGCTATTTCTTAAAAATAACCAGCCTAAAATAATCCTTATGCCAAAGAGGCATGTTGTGGGGTGACAATTCTGCTCTCCTTCATATCATTATCTCCATTTTAGAAAGGAGAAAACAGGCCCAGAGAAGTTTTGCTGTGAATAAGCAGGGGCGGTGTTTGGTGGGGAGCTCACAACTAGGTCCAGTTGTTTCCTGGGCGGCTCAGGCTTGAGGGTCACAGCCACACCCCGTGACTGTGGCAGAAATCAGAAGGTGGGATGGAGCTGGGTGGGTGAGGCCCCAGATGTGGAGGCTTGGCTTAGCTGCATACCACATTTTACTCTGCCCTTGGAAACAGCTGAGGAGGCCACAACTGCCTGTGGCAAGAGCTAATTAAAACTTCCAGATGTGCGGTCTTGGGCAAGTCCCTCCCTTTCTTGGGGGTTTTAGTCTCCCCTGTGAAATGGGGTCGGCCCCTCCGGAAATGGGGCCTGGGAGTGGAGAAGAGACAGCTAGAAGGCAGAACAGGCCTGGGCGTTTGTGTATATTCTCCTCTGCCTGCTGGTGTGAAGGAGCCCTTTGCCTACCCATAGGAAGTGGTCAGGTCTTGGGTCAAGGCCTGTGAAACAAGATGTAGGCTGTGAGTCCAACACTATCATAATATAGACCGGGAAACTGAGGCCCAGAGAGGTGCCAAGCAGACGCTTGGCAGTCTGGCGACTCTCAGTTCTCTGTTGCTTTTTCTCACCCTCCTCCACCCTCATCTCTCTCTTTTTTTTAAAAAATTAAATCTTTATTGTTCAGATTATTACAGTTGTTCCTCCTTTTTCCCCCCATGGCTCCCCTCCACCTGGTTCCCACCCAACCCCAGGCCCTTGCCACCCTATTGTCTGTGTCCATAGGGACTGCATA